CACTTTGGAATCCTCAATGCAAGGTGCTGCAGCATCTACAGGCCCGAGCGCAGCATAAGACAGATTTGCTATAGGCATAGGGGCATTGGCATGGCCTCGCCGTCCCATTGCCTTCACCTGGGCATGCCGACGTGCTAGGCACCGACGGCACTAGCCATGCCGTCTTGCTGGCTATTCTGTGAATTCCCATTCACCTATCCCCTAGTGGTTAGAGCAGCTCCCCGGTGGCTGGGTAGTTTATGCAGCTGTATCTTGTTCTCTTCAACAGCCACAGGAAACCAGTCCAATTCCTGAACTGGATGGCTGTCCCCCCCGTCCCCCCTCCCAGGAGGTTCCCAGCCAGGCCTTGCCCTGGGTGCGGCATTCATGGCTAGGCTGAATCTCAGCCCTGAGGCCTTGCTCCATGTTTGACTCTACTTTTGCTCAGTCCTTGCTCAGGCAAACTTCCATGGGCTTCGCGGGATTGAGGCCCTTAGGCCTGGGCCCTTGGCAAGTGCCTCTGCGGTTAATATGAGCACATGAGCACGGCTGGCTCCCCACCCTGAGTCTCTCGCTCATTCATTACGCCCAGCTCTGTAGCCCAGGGGAGCTGCGTTCCCGAGGATAGGAATGGTGACCTGACACACCAGCATGTAGATCCAGCTCCCACCATCTCGGCAGGGCAGTAGCGGGCTCTAGCCATGGGCCAAAGTGAAAGAGCTGCTTCCGCAGCGCTGGTGCTAGGACAAGGGACCCTGAGAATGGCGTAGAGGTAGCCCTGCCGCCGAGGCCAGGGACAACGCTCACTTGCCCGGCCGTGTTAAACAGGGCCCACGTGGCGAGGGTGAGGATCGGGTAAAGCCTTTGGCTTGTCTGCGAGAGCCGAAGTCCCCGCCCTAGGAGCGTGAGGGGGGAAAGTGCGAGTTTTTACTCCTCCTGCTCATTCACGCTGGCTCCGTGTGTCTCTGCAGGCTGGCCCTTCAACCAGGTCGTCTGCACCATGAGTGGCCTTGTCCAAGGATCGTCTGTCTCGGCCTCCATTTTCACGCTTGTGGCCATCGCCATGGACAGGTGAGCTTCCCGTGATCTTGTCATTTTGATCTGGCCCGTTATAGAGCTAAGAAGTTTTGATCTGAGGTGAAGATGAAGGAACTCAATGTAGCTTATTGACAAGAAGGTCCAGAGGTGACTTCATTGCTCTCTATAAGTATATTGTTAAGTATTTGTTTCCCATGTAGATACTTACAGACTGTGATCATAGAATCACAGAATATCAGGGTTGGAAGGGACCTCAGGAGGTCATCTAGTCCAACCCCCTGCTCAAAGCAGGACCTACCCCAACTAAATCATCCCAGCCAGGGCTTTGTCAAGCCGGGCCTTAAAAACCTCTAAGGATGGAG